GCCTCCTGGGTTCCAATGATTTTCCTGTCTCAGCCTCCTGAGTAGCTGGGATTACAGGCTCGGGCCACCACGTCCATGCAGTTTTTTGAATTTTTAGTAGAGATGGGGTTTCACTGTATTGGCCAGGCAGGTCTCAAACTCCTGACTTCAAGTGAGCTGCCCACCTAAGCCTCCCAAAGTGCTGGGATTAAAGGTGTGAGCCACTGCTCAGATTGTCTTTTTCCTTTTTGAGGATCTTGGGTTTTTTGTTTTGGTTTTTGATAGGAGCCTAAGAAGACTAAAGCTGGTGCTTATAGTACAAGTGATGGTGGTGACTCAGTGAGTGTTGTGAGTGGAGTTGGGGAGGGAATCACTGGGGACATTGGGGACAGGGAGGGACACTTTCCAGGAGCATGTAGAGTTCTGCCAAGGATAAGTGAGAGCACAGTGCAAAGATGTATTATATCCAGACCTCTAGGCTTCACATCTAACATCCAGAGCACAAAGATACAATTTTATAAAGGGGAACATGCTTGTTTTGATTAACAAAATGTTCTATATAGCTAGATATTTTGTGTATGGGCAAAGTGGAAATTTTCCCAATTTATTTACCTCTACATTTAGACATAAATTTCTAAATATTCTTACCTTATTTTGTTAATTAAATTCTGATTTATCATTTATGAATAAGTCTAAATTTATCCTCTATGAATATACCTAAAATTCCTTAAATTTGTTTACATGCATGGACTACTTGTTACTGCTCAGTATGAACAGATGACTTGCAGTTTAACAGTTCTATTGTTATTTTTAAGTAAATCTCAATAAATTCCCCTGATGTTAGTAGATTAAAGTTTTGGGAATAAATTTATGTCTACTCCATCCATAAACTTCATGATTTTAAAAGCTGTTATCTTATTTCTCAGCTTTTATCTTTCCAGTTTAAGGAGCTCTCATTTGTAGTCTGGCATTATCCAGAAGGCCCTCCATATCCTTGATCAAGAGTAGAAAGGTTAAGCTTCACTTTCTAAATCAGGACCTGAAGGAATTTGATAAGAGGCAGCCAAAGTCAGGAATCATTAATCACTATCATATAAGAAAAATTGAGAAAAGTATCAAGAAATGCAGCATTGTCATTTGGGACCCTACTTTCTTTTTTCCTGTCCTACTTTTCTTTCAAAATTTGAACAACATGGGTTAAGATAATTAAATTTTTAAGAAATCTTGAGTTAAAAAGGCTTATGATAAAAATTTGTATTTGAAATGATATAGTCTCAAAACAATAGTTTTAATAAAATGTTATTAATAAACTTGGAGTTAAGTTCTTCTTCTTCTGGCTAAATAAGAGTCACACAAATAATGTGAAAATATGGAATTTTCTTATATTCCTCTATGATTCTTCATATTGCTTCCTATCTGCATCCTCCAACCAACAAAAAACATAACCATCAAACTAGGTGTAGTACTTGTGTAATATCTTTCATATCTAGGTTTTGAGAGAAAAATCTTTAGAATTCATTTTTATGGAAGTAAGACATGGGTTAAAAGTGGTCTGCAATCAGATAGGGATGAGTGGTTTTGGGATCAAATGAGGAAAGGAAGAGAGATAAATAGTGTTAGAGAGAAAGAGCAAGAGGGAGAGCAAAAAAGATTTAAAGAGATTCTTCAAGGGAAATAGCACCTATGTTTGATATATTGTTCTGAGAGATGTAGGCAATGGGAGATTATGAATGGCAGGTTGTTGACAGTTACAGATGTGGAGCTCATTTAAGCAGAGTGTGGGATGAGGATAGGATGAAATATAGGAATAATTGTAGAAGCTCTAAATAATTGGTCCCCAACCTTTTTGGCATCAGGGAGCACTTTTGTGGATGACAATTTTTCCACGGATGGCAGGGGAACAATTTTTGGTTTTGGGATAAACCTGTCCCACCACACATTATCAGACATTCTCATAAGTAGCATGCAACCTAGATCCCTTTCATACACAGTTCACAGTAGGGTTTGCAGTTCTATGAGAATCTAATGCTGCTGCTGATCTGACAGGAGGCAGAGCTTAGGCAGTAATGCTCCCTAGCCTGCTGCTCACGGCTGTGCTGCCAGGTTCCTAACAGGCCACAGACTGGTACTGGTCCATGACCCAGGGGTTGAGGATCTCTGCTCAAAATAGTATGAACTCAATCTGGACCTATAGATAGAAAGACACTGATGGATAGCTGGGAAAATGGCCAACACTAAATGTTCATAACAGTTTTGCATACTTATTGAGTAAGTACTCAATATTCTAGTGGAGAGAAGATATTTTTGACAATAGGCAAGGAAAGAAAATATGATTATCTCTGCAAATGAACATCTGTCTACCTTTTCTTCAACTTACTTGTACAAAGGCTGTGCAATATCTCTTACATTGCTTGTATTCCAATCATCCTTTTAGGTTTCAGGTTAATTTTGAAGTGAGAGGATATAATTTGAACACTTTCAAGCATCTAACAATACTGCTTGGCATTTGTTGGTCTCTTGTAATTCATTTCTTTTCATAACCACCATTGATAGCTAAAGAAAATCTTTGTTCTTTTATTCATATATTTTAATGGTTATTCTCATTGAATTATTTCTTATAACCACATGATTTTGTGAAAAGAATTAATATAATTATATTCATAAATATTATTGCGAAGTTTTTATATAAGGTAAATAAATGGAATCTGAAAACAGATGTAAACCCTGCATGATTACCTTAAACTCTTTGTAAAGTTTCTTCTCTTAAATGTAGGAATACAATCCTGCTGACCAAATGTTGGGGTAATTTTTTATGATTTTAAAAGTGTAAGCTTTCTAAGGCTTAAAAATGATGAATTTGGCTACATCAAATATAACAGTATATATTGAACAAAAATTCCACAGATAAATTTGGCAGATTATGACATGAAGAGTGGACTTTGCAATGTTTAAAACTAACAAGTTACTAATATGTAGGCTATAAAAAATAACCTTCCATGTCACCAAAAGGAGTGAAGATCCAAGAGAAAAATTAAAAAGGAAGCCTGAATGGCTGACAAGTATATAAAGAATTTCTTTAACTCATTAAAGAAGTACAAATTAAATAAGTTAAGCAGTAGGAGTAATTACTTCATAATGTGACAAGTATTGGAAAGATGGATAATGGTAATTACTCTTGGAGGTGTTGATAGATAGGAGCTCTGAACTGGGAAATGTACATGAGTGAGGTTATATACCAGATCAACCTGACTGAACTTAATAAAACCATGTATGTGCATCCCCTAAGGCCCTGTATTGCGCTCCTGGGTATTTAGTTTAGAAATGTTCTCACATAGGTCTATGAGGTGGCGTGTGAAAGGATGTTCACTATAGCCTTATTTATGGCAGCTGGGAATTGAGGGTGACTCTGGGTATCAATCATTATAGTAATGGATCAGTAAAGTGCTGCAAATCTGTAATATTGAACACTTAGCAGCAATAGGAAATAAAAATTTAATTATTTATAGAACAATATAAATCTCAAAAAGGTCAATGAATGATAAAAGTAGTTAACAAAACAGATTTGGAAAACATTAACATTTATGTAAATTTGAAACCATAATTCCTCTTCCCACAACAACTACATATATTATAGGACAGATTCATAGATAAGGATATACATTGGTGTAGGTACTTACGGGGAAGTAGGACAAGGGAAGAGACAAAACTAAGCTTAAAATGCATGAAACAAAGGAGAATAGAAGAGGTGTCTTTACTGGATGTGTGAAATACAATATACTACTAATAGAAAGATATGATGAGCTGTCTGGTATTTTTCAGGATTAAAGGATTGATTGATTGATTAATCGACTGATTTTTGAGATGGAATCTCATTCGGTTGCCAGGCTGGAGTGCAGCGGCACAATCTCGGCTCACTACAACCTCTGCCTCCCGGGTTCAAGCAGTTCTCCTGCCTCAGCCCCCTGAGTAGCTGGGATTACAGGTGCATGCTACCATGCCCAGCTAATTTTTGTATTTTTAATAGAGAGGGGGTTTCACCATGTTGGCCAGGACGGTCTTGATCTCTTGATCTCATGATCCACCTACCTTGGACTCCCAAAGTTAAACGATTTTACAAAGTATTTTTCTTAATACCTGACCATACTTGAATAAATCAATAAATCATAAGAACATAAATTACAGCATGCTTAAATGATTGCATTAGAAAATATAATATTCTATCTTTTTGTTAAGTCCTATATGTGGGACTGATCTTTCACTTTAACATTCAACAATTCATACAGCAAAAGTGTTTTAAATCATAGTCAGTGTGAAGGAACAGAAATAGTGGCAGAATTCATCTTTTTAAACAAAAGATTAGTAAAAGATGACTGATCCTTAGATGCATATTAAACTTAGAGTTAGAACTAGATGACCAATGATGAAAAAATAATGCAATGAGTCCAGTCAAAAGTCAGATGAAAAACTTAACACCTCTATAATTTCCACCCAACCTCTTGAAGCATAGTGTTTTTCTTTTTTTAAATGGCAATGAGGTTCTCACACATTCATTTATAGCTGCAATCAATATTTATTGTTAATACTCTTTATATTTAGTTTCTAAAACTTCCTAGTAATCACTATAATGCGATTTTAAGTTTCTGCCTGAGGCAATACAGATTTTGTCATAAATAAGAAATTAGCTATGGCAAAAAGAACAGCATATTAACATGCTTTGGGCAACTGTTCTAGTTTTTGATTTTCTTTTATATCTCAATAGTTGTTACTCTCTGCCGTTATTACACATTTTGCAGTCAACTTGTCAAGTTTTGGTTGTAGCTGTGTTTTCTCTTTCTTGTGAATGAGAATTTTCATATCCTCAAGTTACTAAAGAGAACGGTGGAAAAGAAACCAAACACATTTGGCTTCCCAAATTGTAGAGTCCAGAACTAAATTAGATGGAAGCTGGGGTGAGGGAAGTTGGCATTTTTTTGACAATGTAAAGCTGAAGATGTGATAGTAGATGTAATTATGTTTTTCAGAACCTGTAATATTTTTGTGCTATGCCAGAAATTGACTGAAACAGCTATAGAATCTGATAGCTTCTTTAGGACCAAGGAGCAAGATGGTGACATATGAACGCTATCAATCTGCTCCCCCTTCTCTACCTCCCTCCAACAATTAGGGTGTGTATTATTTTCTCTCTCTCTTCACTTTAACTCCTGTCTCCTCCTTAGTGTGATAACGATTCATATGCACAGCACATACTGTTTAAGAAAAAGACTTAATGCACTGAAGATTTCAGTGTTTGAAACCGAACAAAATTATACTCATGCAATTTTTTCTACTTTGGGCACTCTCATCTTTTCTCTTAGACAACAGTCAGCACAGACTAAATTGCAGATGAAGCTCATGGAGAATATCTTAGTACATTCATGTTGCTATAACAAAAATATCATGAACTGGGTGACTTATAAACAAGAGAAAATTATTTTTTACAGTTATAGAGGCTGGAAAATCAAAGATCAAGGCTTCAGGAGATTCAGTGTCAGGCAAGGGTTCTCTGTTTCACAGATGACACCTTCTCACTATGTCTTTACGAAGTGAAAGTGATCAGATAGATCTCAGGAGTCTCTTTTATAATGACACTAATTCCATTCATGAAGGCAGAGCCCAAATGACCTATTCACTTCCTCAAGACCCAACCTTCTAATACTGTCACAATGAGGGTTAGGTTTCACTATGAATCTGGGAAACACAAAAATTTTAAGACCATAGAAGACGGCAAATGGTTCAAGAAAATGAGGGAAAAAGTCAGCATTGGTTAATATTTAAAAATACTATGAGATTTTAGCAAATACTGGTAGCTATCTTCTGTGAGTCCCAATACCTGTTTTGCCCTTCTTATATATAGTAATGGAATATTAAGCTGTGAGCTTGTCTGATTAGCTAAATAATACATTTCTCAGCCCTTTTGCAGCCAATGCAGCCTTGGAACTAAGTTCTGTCAATTAGAGATGCATAAAATGATAATTTTACATGCCAGGGTAAGCCCTTAAGGAAAGGGTTGTGCTCCTCCTGCCCCTTCAGTTTTCCATTTTGTGGAACAACTGCAAGTCATTGTGACATGACACAATAGCAAGTCATCTTATCTTAGGGTCAAGTAGAGAAGAGAAAATGGTTCTAGCCAGAGCAATCAGGCAAGAAAAAGAAATAAAGGGTATTCAATTAGGAAAAGAGGAAATCAGATTGTCTCTATTTTGGAAAATGGACACAACAGCAAGTCATCTGGAATCCTATAGATGAGGGCAACAGCCTCTTTGCAGCAGCACAACACAACAGAAGAAGTGTTGTGTCAGCCCAGTAACCATCACAATGGCAATTAAATTTCAACATGAGTTTTAGAAGGGACAAACATTCAAACAACAGCATTCTACTCACTGCTCCAAAACCTCCTGTCCTATTCACAAACAATATCATTTATTCTATCCCAATAGCTGCTTAAGGCTGAATTCATTCTAGCACCAACTCAAAAGTCCAAAATCCAAAGTCTCATCTAAATCAGATATGGGTGAGACTTCAGGCATGACATAATGCTGTGCTTAAGCTCCGACTGTAAGATCAGAAAGCTGTACATTTATATATCACTTAAGTCAACTGTTATTCTGGACAACCTAGCTATAAAATGATTTTTATATAAATCCTACAATTTGGAAAACACTATTAAATATTCTTGATCAAAACTCGCACATTGTCTTAGTTTGCTTTGTGTTGCTGTAACAGGATACCACAGATTGAGTAATTTATAATAAACAGAAATTGATTGACTCATGGTTCTAGAGACTGGGGAGTCTAAGATGAAGAAGCCAGTATCTTGCAGGGGCCGTCTTGCTGCATCATTTTATGGTAGATGGGAACAAAGAGGGTGAGATAGAACAAGAAAGGGAGAACCTGCTTCCAGGATAAGGCATTAGTTCATTCATGAAGATGGAGCCATCATGACCCAAATAGTCCTTAAAGGCTTCAACTCCCAATACCATCACAATGGCAATTAAATTTTAACATGAGTTTTGGAAGAAACAAACATTCAAATCATGGGACACAATTAATTGCACTTTCAAATTATTATTTAGGTTTAATTAATCTTGTATATGGTGTTATTCATTTGATGCAGATTCTTAATAGATTCAAATTTGGAAAGTGATACATTTTGATTTTTTTATAAATTCAAGTTAAGAAAATTAGAAGATAACTACCGTTATTACAATTATGTTATATTGTCCTAAAATTTTAGTTAATGCATGGACAAGAAATAGTAAGAATTAAAACCTATGGTAACCAAAAAACAACTGTCTTTATTTGAAGACTTTATGATGGCCTAAGTGGAAAACACAAGGGAATAAAATGAAAATCTATTTAAAGTAACAAAAGAGTTCATTAAGATGTTTGTTTACCAACTGAATACAGAACAATTAATAACTTGTATATGTCAACAGTAATTCATTTAGAAATCTTATGGAAATAAGACTTCTTTCATGAAAGGAATAAAACTCTAGCAAAGAAACTTCTAAACTTTATTAGGAAATAAAGAGGAAATTGAAATAACGTATGAGGCAGATGACCACATTTTTGAATGGAATGACTGAATATTATTTACACGTCAATTTTCCCACAAGTAATCTCTGTTTTGATTTAATTCCTCTGAATTTCCTAATGGATGCTTTGGAACTTAAAAAGTTCCATTTTATTTTGTATAAGAATAAGAAAAGTTTTTTTTCTTTTTGGTTCGAATATTTCTGTTTTAGGTTCAAACTTACAGAATTATGTTTTAAGAATTCTGAAATTAGCTTTAGATTACCTATTCAAGGCAACTGACTTATTGATTGCTCATAATATGGTGGCAGCTGTAGGGTTCAAAGACCATGCATGAGTATAAGTCTTATCTTAGGGTCAAGTGGAGAAGAGGAATTGGTTCTAGCCAGAGTAATCAGGCAAGAAAAAGAAATAAAAGGCATTCAGTTAGGAAAAGAGGAAGTCAAATTCTCTCTATTTTCAGATGACATGATTATATGTTTAGAAGACCCATGTCTCAGCCCAAAATCTCCTGAAACTGATAAGCAACTTCAGTAAAGTTTCAGGATACAAAATCAATGTGTAGAAATCAGAAGCATTCCCATATACCAATAGTAGACTTAAAGAGAGCCAAATCAAGAACGAACTGCCATTCGCAATTGCTAAAAAGAGAATAAAATACCTAGGAATAAAACTAACAATGGATCTAAAGCACCTCTTTAAGGAGAACTACAAACCACTGCTCAAGACATAAGAGAGGACACAAACAGATGGAAAAACATTTGATGCTTATGGTTAGAAAGAATAAATACTGTGAAAATGGCCATACTGCCCAAAGTAATTTATAGATTCAACACTAACCCCATCAAGTTACCTACGACCCCCTTCACAGAACCAGAAAAAAACCACCTTAAACTTCATATGGAACCAAAAGAGTGTCAGCATAGCCAAATCAATTCTAAGCAAAAAGAACAAAGCTGGAGGCATCATGCTACCTGACTTCAAACTATGATCCAAGGCTACAGTAGTCAAAATAGCATGGCACAGGTACCAAAGCTGAGATATATACCAGTGGAACAGAATAGAGGCCTTGGAGGCAACACCACACATCTACAACCATCTGATCTTTGACAAACCTCACAAAAACAAGCAATGGGCAAAGGATTCCCTATTTAATAAATGGTGTTGGGAAAACTGGCTAGCCATGTGCAGAAAGCAGAAACTGGACCCCTTCCTGACACCTTACACTGAGATTAACTCCAGATGGATTAAAGATTTAAACATAAGACCTAACACCATAAAAACCCTAGAAGAAAACTGAGGCAAAACCTCTCAGGCATAGGCTTAGGCAAGGACTTCATGACTAAAACACCAAAAGCATTGGCAACAAAAGCCAAAATAGACAAATGGGATCTAATTAATCTCCAGAGCTTCTGCACAGCAAAAGAAAGAATCATTAGAGTGAACCAGCAACCAAGAGAATGGGAAAAAATTTTTGCAATCTACCTATTTGACAAGGGGCTAATATCCAGAATCTACAAAGAACTAAAACAGATTTACAAGAAAAAAAACAAACCCATTCAAAAGTGGGCAAAGGACATGAATAGACACTTTTCAAAAGAAGACATACATGAAGCCAAGACACGAAAAAATGCTCATCATCACTGTCATTAGCGAAATACCAATCAAAATCACATTGAGATACCATCTCACACCAGTTAGAAGGGCAATCATTAAAAAATCTGTAGACAACAGATACTGGAGAGGATGTGGATAAATAGGAACACTTTTACACTGTTGGTGGGAGTGTAAATTAGTTGAACCATTGTGGAAGACAGTGTGGCAATTCCTCAAGGACCTAGAAATAGAAATTCCATTTGACCCAGCAACCCCATTACTGCGTATATATCCAAAGGAATATAAATCCTTCTGTTATAAAGACACATGCACACGTACGTTCATTGGGGCACTGTTTAGAATAGCAAAGACCTGGAACCAATCCAAATGCCCATCAATGATAGACTGGACAAGGAAAAGGTGGCACATATCCACCATGGAATACTATGCAACCATAAAAAATGGTGAGTTCTGTCCTTTGTAGGGACATGGATGAATCTGGAAACCATTATTCTCAGCAAATTGACACAAGAACAGAAAACCAAACACCACATGTTCTCACTCATAGGCGGGTGTTGAACAATGAGAACACATGGACACAGGGAGGGGAACATCGCACACTAGGGTCTGTTGGGGGTTACTAGGGGAGGGACACCAGAGGGTAGGGAGTTGGGGAGGGATAACTTGAGGAGAAATGCCAGATATAGGTGACGGGGATGGAGGCAGCAACCACATTGCCATGTATGTACCTATGCAACAATCCTGCATGTTCTGCACATGTACCCCAGAACCTAAAGTGCAATAAAATTAAAAAAAAAAGAAAAAGTAAACTAAAACAACAGATAATGTTGGTCCTCAGTTATGAACTAAAAATGCACTTCTTTAAAAAATATCTTGGAGAACATCACATTTTATTTTATTGTTTATATTGTATTTTTAATATCATTACTATTTTGAATCTATAGTCCTTTATCACTTATGGAGCATATTTTCATAT